GTTCCCAAACAATCCATAAAGCCAACAGGATGGTGAGCCATGTGCTGGTCCTGTAGGTGCAAGACCCTGCACCTGCCCCCTTCTGCGCCTTGCTTTCTGGGCTGCAGCCCCACTGGCCTTTATTCGGTTCCTTGAATTCACCGAGTTTCCTGCCCCTCAGTGAGCCTTTGCCCATTCTGTTCCCTCTGCCTGGGACTCACTCCCCCTGAGTCCCTGCTCCTGAACCTCTTCCCCTGCTCCCTCTTAACTCTTTCTTCAGAGCCCAGCCGAGAGACCCCTTCCTCAGGGACACTTCAGTGACCCCTGAAGTCAGGTCAGGCCCCATGTGTCATGGGCTCTCATGGCACCGTGCTCTCCTCTCTAGCACTTTCTGCAGCTTGACTTCACACACATTTGCTGAGACCTCTGAGGGTTATCCCTCCCCCACTAGACTGTGAGCTCCATGTTGGCTTCCGTGTTTGTCTTTCTAGCCCAGATGGCTGGATGTTGCGTAAGCCCTGGCTCCATGTTGGCTTCCGTGTTTGTCTTTCTAGCCCAGGCATATCCATCTGGATGTTGCGTAAGCCCTATAGACTCGTCATGTTCAAATAAAACTCATCGTCTTCCCTCCCGATCCCTCTGCTGACCTGCTTCTCCTCTTCTCAGTAAATGCCACTTCTTCTCTCTCCAGGGCTGAGCCTGGAAAACTGGGGAGTGGTCTCCCTCCCACCTGCAACCCTAACCCCATTCAGTCTCCAAGTCCAGTCAGTTTACCACCTAAGAATTTCATGGACGCCTCATCTTCTCTCTTGGCTCCTGCGAGCCCATCCTTCTCATGGTAGCCAGAATGAGAGTGAAAATTCAATTTTACTCTTTCACTCCCCTGCTCCAAATCCATCTGATGGCTCCCCACCAACCTCAGAACAAAGCTCAAACTCTCTAAAGGGACTTAAAGGCCCTTGGCTGTGTGCCCTCTGCCTAATTCTCCAACCTGGTTTATCACTCCCGTCCCCACCCCCACTCCAGAACACCATGCTGAAGCCCCCCTCAGCTATGTTCAACTCACCAACATGCTCTCTCTAGCCTCTGTCGGGGCCTTTGTTCGTTACATTTCTTCACCTTGAAAGCTCTGCCCTATAAAACCATTCCAGCCTTTAGTTCTCAGTCTAGAATCTGCTTCCTCTAGGAAGTCATCCATGTCTACCTCACCACCACCTCCTTTGCTCCACAGCCTCCTTCTCATCACTACATGAATGAGACTGTATTATAGGCTTGTTTCCTTGTGTGTTCCCCTCACTCGAGTGGAAAGCTTGTGGGATCGGGGTCTTGCCTGCTCTGGTGTCTGCTGCATCCACAGCATCCAGTGGTGCCTGGCACATTGCACAGATAGGCAGTGCATGACTGAAAGCTTGAATGAGCCAGGACCTTCGTCTTCCCAGAAGCTGCTCACTTGGACAAGTCCTTGGTTGCTTTCGGGTAGCTTTCTCCTCCTCGCCTCCACTCATTCTGCCTCCCCTGGTAATTCCATCTAAGGCTGCATTGCATCCTGCCCACAGCTCCTCATAGGAAAGTACTGTCTTTTCTGCTCTTTCTCTCATACAACCTCCCTGACTAGGTGGCCTAATTAATGGTCCCTGAGCCATCCTAGAACTTCTGCACCCTTTAAAGACCTTTTTCCTCCCTCCACCCCCAAAACTCACCTTCTGGCTGTGACTTCCATAAATTTTGCCCATTTAATTCCCTGATGCTGTTCAGTTCTCAAATCCCAGGCTGAGATAAGCCCCCAAAGTAATTTAGGTAACAGCTTAATTATCTCATCTCTCCTTTACTCTAATCTGTCCATTTCCATCGCCACCTAGGAAGCAGTGAAAAATGGGATCTGTAAATAGGTTTCTGCCCAACCCTATTTCTTCCCTTGCAGTTCTTATCTTGGTTCATGTCAACAGCATCCATCCAATCACCTGAGAACTGAACCTCAAAATCACCATCTACCCCTCCCTCATACCCCCTACTCTCTTTCCAGGATGAATCCAAGATCATCTGCTCTCCTATTGAGGAGTCTCTGAAGTTCAGCCTTCTCTGGCCACCTCCCAGGCCCTTATTATCTCTATTCCCTTGGACTAAGTTCACCTTCTGACTGGTCCTCTTGTTTCCAGCCCCATGCCTATGCCCACACCCATCCACCCATCTACCATCTACTCATTTATTTACCCACCCACGTCCTTCCTGGAATTCACTACCCCCCAGCCTCCCATCAAGTCCTTACTCTGTCTCCCCAGCCAATACTCTCCTACCGCATTTGGAATTCTTGCTCTACTGAGTTGCTTCTCTTTGTATCCATGGTTCCCTCCATCTATAATTCCAGCTTTCTCTGCCTCTCTATTTGGAGAAAACTTACCCATTTTTGAAGACCCAGCATAAATGTGACCTTTTTTCATGGGTCTCTCTTCCACAGCATCTCCTCTGTATCAGGCACATCGTTGGGCACTGGGTGTGGTCACTAAAACAGAAACAATCTTTGCTCTGAAATAATTTACAGGTGAGCAGGGGATGGAAACTCCTTAAGGCAGACGTTCTCATGAGTGTGCATCAGAATCACCTAGAGGGCTGGTTAAAACACATATTCTGGGCCCATCCCAGGATTTCTTATTAAGTGGTCTGGAATGGCCCTGCATTCCAATAAATTCCCAACTGCTGCTGCTGGTCCTGGGATTACACTTTGAGAACCTGGGTCTTGGAGTGTGGTCACAGGCATGCTCTCTGGAGAGGTATCATTTAAACTGAGACCTAGAGGAAGAGAAGGAGCCAGTCATGACAAGAGCAGGGGCTAACATATTCCAGACGGAGGGAGCAGCGTGAGTGAAGGCCTCAGGTGAAAAGAGCTCTGAAAGCCAGGAGAGCACAGGAGGGCGACACCTCCTCCAACTTCTCACACAGAACGGACACTCTATCACCTTCCACTGTAACCTTTTTCTTCTGCTTCTACCACTTGACAAGGAGACTCTCCAAGCCAGGTCTGTGTCACATCCCTCCCAAGCCCACCTGAGGCCTGACAAGGAAGTAAAGGCCGAGGGATTTGGGTTGGGTGGTTGAATTTTAGTGTTCTGGCTTTTTCTCTAGGCTATAAGCAAAGTAGAAATATGTTTGTTTCTCCTAAGCAGCATGTCTCCTCGCTTTTTCTTAGGCAGCTTCCAATATATCTATCTTCTAAATCAAATTCCTGCGACTTCACAGATTTTTAGCCCACTTTGTAACAGAAAGAAAATGCCTCTATGTCGAGTGGCAGAGACTCCACCTACCCTCCCCAAGCCCAGGGTTTGGGCGGGGTGAGGGTGCAGGGTGCTGTGGGAGCCCAGAGGCCCTCAGGTTGCACCCTCCAGCACTTGCATTTGGCTTTGAGAGGATGATGTGGTCATAGTAAGAGTCAGCAGACTTCCCCTCCTCAAAAACACTGATAGTGGGAGGCTGAGAGCATAACCATGGCCAACCCTCATAGGTGCCCCACCCTTAGGGCATGTGTGGAGCAAGGCAGGCCTGGGGGACCCTGAGCTGACCACCTGAAGGATGGGACTCTCCCCCCACATCCTGCCTTTCCAACATCTCCTTCGCACCCTGGAAAGTAGAGTAAGGGGAGGGACAGAGTCAGAGGGCAAGATGGTAACATGGGACTATGGGTTTGATTTTGATTCTAATTGCAGTTCCCCTTTTCTTTGTGAAGAAATTATATAT